GATCGGGGGGGGGGGCGTCGTGTTGTAAAATCCATTGGTGCACGCTGGCGGCGGCAGGAGCAGCTGGAGCAGCTGGAGCAGGCCGACCAATAATAGACAAGAGTCGGTAGGCATGCAGGGATATTCAAAGTTACTTGCGGAGAGCGTAAACAACGTCACTCACCACTGCCAGACCCTGTCGTTGTCCGTCTTCTTCTTGCTCGAGGTTTAAAAAAATATAGCAACGGGCAATCAACCACCACCAACAACAACAACAACGACAACAACATCAACATCAACAACAAGCAAACCTTGCGTCTGCTGAGGTCGAAGTTGAAGTCCCCGCCCGTGAAGACCCGCGCGATCTGGAGGTTGAAGTCCCACGAGGTGAACCAGCTGCTGAGGGCGCTCGCCTCGACGCCGATCTCCTCGAAGTAGTGGCCGTGCGCCACCCCCTCCCCACCGTCCTCGTCCACGAAGAAGCAAGAGTTCACGTCGAGGCCTGTGTCCACGATCTGACGACCAGGGGTGGCGATGTTGTTGTTGCAGTGCGAGAGGCAAAGCCGCAGCAAGGAGTTCCAAAAGGGGATCAGGACACGAGAAAATTCTACGCCGGAAACCAAGGGGCAAAGAATGGGTGACAAAGGTCATGTATATATTTCATATTTCTACCTCTTGTCACAATTTTGGCATACGAGGCGCATGCACTTGGGTATGGGTACTACTGAACACCCCCCCCCCCCCTAGTCGAAACCAACCGGACGATCCCATCGATGCAATGTCTGTTTGACCCCCCTCTGTTTTTCGCGGATCTTCCCCCCCGCATGACGAGTGGATCCCAAACACGACTGCGACGGGAGGTCTTGGCGACCCACCCACATAGACCTACTTCATGGCTACCTTCATCCACTACATTTATTTTCCAATTAACGTTCGCATCCACAGCACTTCTGCAGGGTACTACTTCACAGGGGAAAACAAAACAAAAACAGGGTCTTCGGTGGGTACGTCGATTCCTACATACCCAGGGAAAGAGAAAAAAAAAAAAAGCACGTGTTCGGCGGTTACCGCGATTACTACATACATTACCCAGGGAAAAAGAGAAAAACGCTCGTGGGACGAGTTACGCCCGCCGGCCGCACCTGGATCACTTCGCCCGTCCCGTCCAGCCCCGCGTCCGTCATCGGCGACTCGGTGAGGTTGGCGCTCTGCACGTTGTGGTAGGCCGCGGCGTTGAGCAGCTTGATCGCCCGCGCTGGCGACACCCGAAGCACCTCCGGCCGGGAGGCGAGGAAGGACAGGAGCGCCATGAAGCACGCCACCTGGAGCTCGTCGGCCTCGGGACCCTCGTTGCCGCCCGCTCCCCTGCCCTCCGGCAGGAGGTGGTCCATGCCTGTTACATCATAGGGGAAGCACGCAAGCCATTGCGTTGTCAGTTGTAGAAAGTCCTTGCCGCATACAGGAGAAGCACAAGGCACTGTGTCGTCAATGATAGATGGTCCACGCCGCATACAGGGGAAGCTCAAGGCATTGTGTTGTCAGCGATGGATGGTCCTTGCCTGCTACATAGGCAGGAGGTGGTCCATGCCTGTGGAAGAACAAGGCATTGTGTCGTCAATGATAAATGGTCCATGCCGCATACAGGGGAAGCACAAGGCATAGTGTTGTCAATGATAGACATCGATGCTATGCGAGGGGGAACGAGCCATTGTCCTTGCGATAGATGCCGGAGTTACCGAAAGAACTCTCCCCGGCACAACTTCGGTTTGAGAAACTAATCCCAAGAAAACACACAACAAGACAGTGCTTGTTGACGGGGGTGGGAGGAGGCACGAAACTGGCGCTTGATTAGTCACTATTCAAGACATAGTGCTATTCATCGGTAGTTCCCGTCCATTCACAAGTGTCGTTTGTATGCTTATGCGTTGTCGTGTCGAGACGGTAGATGGCTGGTATGGGCGGCCGCCAAATCCATTCCTTGCCGTTTTGACTCATCTCAGTCCCGAGAAAAACTCCGAAAACCTTCCAGCAGTCTCAACGGAATCGTGGTTGAGGTAAACATTCTCTCCCAGGCCCGGCCGAGGCCACCGGTCGTTCCTAGACACTGCCGCCACGTCTCTCTCTCTCCCCCTCTATTACCCCTTGCGATATGTCTTGACCTGGTAAACCGATGCCTCTTGCCACAAGATAGCCAAATAATTGAACTCCCGAAGTTTGTGTGGTCACCACCCGCTACCTTCGATCATCGGCGACGCAGGGGCAAAACACGTTGTTGCCGAGCCGAACCAACAACGTGGTGTTACCTTTCATCGTGAGGAGATCATCATCCGTGTGCACCACCACCAACCCGTCCCACGAGCAGACGTCTCCGATCGTCGGGCCGCCCTCGGCCCCGCCAAGCCCCCGGAGAACGTCGGCCGCTCGCGTCCACTCCCTCGCAAGCACCTCCCCCGGCCCTCCTCCCAACGAGTCGCCTGCCCCTTCCGCAGCCGCCTCGTCGAGAAGCTTCGCCGACCAGCCAGACGACCAGAAGCTCTTGCCGTGCACGTCGAGCGATTCGGACATGAGTTCCTCACGCCACTCGTCGGTCAGCTCGCCGCTGCTCGCGTACCAGCCGCCGCCGCCGCCGCCGCCGCCGCTGCCCCGTCTGTTCGTCGCCGCCAGGACTCCGGGCGCGAGCTCGACCGTAAGGCCAGTGACGCTAGACGGGCCACCGCCGATGTTGTCGCCGATGCCGCTACGGCTACCGCTGCCGCCGGCGCCCCCGCTGCTACCGCCGACATCCCTGCTGCCGCCGGTGCCGGCGCCCCCGTTGCCGTTACCCCCGCTACCGCCCTTGCGGTCCTTCGGTCGACGAAGCCTTTCTCCGTGAGTCGTCCTCAGCCGGCCGTCCCCGCCGCCGTCCCTACCGCCGTGGGGGTGGTCCAAGAGCCCCGGGGCGAGCTTTAGCGCGGAGGGAAAGGCTGCCCACGAGGAGAAGGCCTGCTGTCCCTGGAAGACGCTCTCCGCCTGGCCGGGCGTCGCCGTGGCCACGACGCAGACGCCGTGCTCGGCCGAGCTGGCGACCACGCGGCCGCCGATGGCGCCGGCCCCGAGAACGTGCGACAGCGTCGCTCCGCCGCCGCTTCGGTCGCTGCTGTCCGTCGAAGCGCACGCGAGGTAGGGCGCAGGCCGGGCGTCGTCGAGCCGCGCCTCGTGCCACTCGACCGCGGCCTTGAACTCCCCCTGGTGACGAAACGTCTCCCCCGCCGTCGTCAAGAGGGCGCCTCGTATGACGGAGAGGGGCGGGTGCGGCTGGGCAGGTGCCGCTGATGCCCCCCCCCCTGCGAACGCCAAGGCCAGGGCTTGGAGCGATGCCGCCTTGGCGAGGAGCATGGTGTTTTTATTTTTTCTTGGCACGCAAAGGAGCGCGCGTGCTCACCGGCGATGAAGAGCGGGACACGTTGCGGAACGGTATTCCACGCTCGAAACCTGGGGTGAGTTCAATTTTGGAGGGTTGAGGTCGGGTGCGATTTATTCTAGATTGACACACAGCTTCGGATGCTTGCGTCCCGTCAGAAAAGAAAATACTCATGTCGAAAAAAATACATGCGTTCGATTCCACACACAGCGAGCCCCGGACACGAGCATGGAAGGGTGCAAGACGGTGACCACTCCTCGGCTTCTTACGGTACGCGGATAGCTAGGTGGTTTGTTCGGGTGTACTTTAATACGAAGTATGTTTTTGTGCTTGTTCTCCATCAGCAACAGCTGTGGCTGAATGGTTTGGTTGGTAACCTCAGCGTAAAAAAATTCCGGTTCTGATTCAAACAACCGCATACAGCTGTCGTTAGAGTACATGCAACAACATAGAGGGGGAGGGATTGCCGAACCCTTCGCGCTTGTTGACACTTTCCGGCAAGCACCGCAGGAGGAAATGCGGAGAAAAAAACTCCAGTCGGTGTTCTTGGTTTTCCCACCTCCTGTGCGACCCCTGCTGATGCGTCGACAAAAATAACGAAAGGCGTATACTGGCGTCCACAACAGATGGAACGAAAAAAATACACACACACACACACACACAACACCCGTCGATATTTATAGGATCTTTCCATAAGCAGCCCGCGACAGCAGTAACACACAAAAAAGCAGGAGGACCGGTGTGGATGGACGTTAAAAGGTGCTGAGGAGAGAGCGAAACCGTTTCTATTCATCATGTGCAGACAACAACCTCCGGAAGTATGAATGTATCCAGTGAGTAGATAAGAGGTGTTCGTTGTCTTACATTAAAACCGGTTCTCCTTAACACCCGTACCACATACCACCATACTGACGCGGAAGCCTTCCTTCCGTGGTCACAGCCTAACTACCCAACATGGAACTGCTGTATACCCCCGAAAAAAAAATCAATGGTAGTCTACACAAGTAGAAAAACGACCCGGGACACATCATTTACACGATACACCAACTCGAACAGACGTTGATGGCCATAAGATCAGGCACTAAGGCGGCGTACAGAGTACGTATGAATGGTAAATAGATACCTTGTAGAGCCCATCGCTCCCGCTCGGCACGCGATGCCAAACAAGAAAATATTACCAATCACATACTGCTGTATATATGCATAGGGTATCCCAGCAGCATTTGGCAACGAACTTCTATCCCTGTCTGTATACATGTACAGTAGTACCCCTGGCATACAACAACAGCAGCAATGCAGAGGCCCAGGTGTTTACAGAACATCCTGCTGCTGCAGTGCTCTGCCGGGTGGGCTGCTAGGATTCTACAGTACGACAAGGAGAGCGTCGGGGAGAGAAACCCTCCGCCGTTATTTTCTACGTGTGTGTGCATGCGGGCCTGCCACCAAATTCGCCTTGCTATTTGACAGTTGCTCTGTGAATTGCTGCTTTATAGAGTCATCTACTTGTAGCACATATTTTACGAAATGTTACAGATCATTTTTTTTTTCGCAAACTTGGCAAACTGCAAAAAAATGTTCGCTGAAGATCGTCTGTTTTCTACCACAAAATAGTTCGGGCACGTTTGTTTTTCCGGGCTCCAACCCCAAACACATTTTGAACCCGTCCCCCCCCCCAGCGCACTTACGTTCACACACGCGATTCAGCGAACTCCCTACCGCCACCTCGCGTTTCACTCCAAGTCTACAGTTGTCGGCCCGGTGCTCCCACTCCGCAGAATACCTAGCCAGTGGCCAAAAAACAGCAACAATCTCGGTGAGCATCTTATTGCCGATACATACGAGCACCTGTAACGTGCCGATTATTAACGTGTCCCTTTGGGAAAAAGCAGCTACAGCAGCACATGGCTCGTTCTGGAGGTCGACTGGCAGAATACTACGTACGGCACCACCACCTGTAGATAACAGTTCTCAAATCCCCCTCCTCAGGGATCATCATCAGTCTGTGTGCTTTCCCACCTGGGCGGAACTTGGAGGGAAACTTGAAAACCTTTTTTGCTGTCCGTGTACATTTATCTGAACACGCAACTCACCCTCTGGCACATACGCGCAGTTCAACAACCGCACTCGTCCACGGTGCACTCCTGGCTCACATCAATCGGTGTTGTGTACCAAAAGGTTTTACGTTTAGTGCCGAGATTGCTGCCCTTTCTGTGTGTCAACCATTCTCCGATGAGCCGCCCTGACACTCGGCTCATTCCCCACCCAAAACCTACAAACCTTGCTCAAAACCCCCAACAGCAACAGCCAGCCGTACAAGACCCCAAAGTACAGAAGGCCTCACCTAACCCTAACCTGTTGGCCACCCGCGTAGAGGGACACTCCCGCGTGAGCACCGTCTTTGGTCTTTGGCGTAGTCGCTTGCTTCTGAAGAAGGTCCGTGTGCAGTTTGCGCGAGTGGAGGGGGGGGGGACGAGGAGGCGGTGGGGTCTGCAGGATTATCATGCGGTATGGTTGCTTGTTGAAAGGAAATTTTCCTGGAATGCTCCGCGCTCGTTGGCAAGCTGGGGATATCCTGGTAAAAACAATTACCAATTATGTAATTGTGGGCTGCCAGAACTCTGTCGATGATCGATCACGTACTAATCAGAAACGTGAACCAAAGGTCTGGCCCGTGTGGTGCCAAACAGGCAATGAACAAAGGACTTCCACAGCACCAACGTATGGCGTTGCACTGGAAACGCCGCCATACCAACTGCACTACAGCTAGCAAGCAACCGATTGTTCACACGGGGTTTCTAGCATGAATAGAGGGATGCCGGGCATGGGCACCTCCCCGTATCCTCCCCGGAGCCGTTTTTGTTCTTCTCTTACAGTAAGAAAGTACGAATGCTGCTAACAGCAGCGGCAGCACATTGTTGTTGACAGGCATATCATACGTACGCGTCATTCACATATACCCTCCCCCACTCGCAGCCCCTACTCGTCGCAAGCGCCAGAGGAGTGTTTGTGATCATGGTCAACTCTCGCCAGCTTCTTTCGCTCGCACTAGCGCTGTGCTCGTGCCATGCCTCTTCGGCGTTTGCTGGAGTCGTGACCACGCGCGGAGGAGGGGTGCCTAGCCCAGCAGCCACGCCGCCAAGGGCTATCGATGGCGTGGAGCAGCAGCTTGGTGAGGAATCGCTCTCTCGGTCAGGCTCCTTCCGAAGCCCAATGCGTAGCCATATGTACGACTGAACACACATGGTATGATCCATGAACGAGCGCGAACCCAGCTTGTTGTGTCGCAGAAGAAGACGACGGTTGATGACGTGTGCTTCGTCACACAAGTACACATGCACCTGCTACTACTACTGCTGTGCTGCTGTAGTACTGGGTCGCGCTCTCGTGAAGGTGCGCGTCGAGACCATCGTCAACCCTTTATTCGATCCCTCTTTCTCTTGCCTGCTTCTGCAAATAAATGCTATCGGACATACCTTGAGATCACTCTGCTGTTGTTGCAGATTTTCGTACGGATAGTCAAGTCTACATGTAGACTTTCAAATAAAGGTTGTTCGAATGATACATGTATATAATCACATATTGTCTTCCCCTCCCTGACCCATGACGTCCTCACACACCGCTCCCAAGCATCCAAACCACCAAGACCCCTACGCGAGTTGATCTCTGTGTTGGAATGCCCCAGCAGAATCTTCACGCTGGGATTCTTTGTTTAGCGAGGGGCGTGGTAGAGCATAGGTGGAATGAGACATGTACGTACCGAGGATGACGTAGGGGGCGACGTTGAGAGGAATATCTTTTCTATAGATAGAGATGGATTCGTTGTGTCATATTAAGAAAAAAAAAAAAAAAAGGTCAGGTGTTTCCACATTCTTACAGCATTGTAGTACTGTAGCAGCGTTCAGTGAGCGTCAGCGTTCGAATGGAGTTGTTCAACCGCGGCATCCGCCTCGTTATGTTACACTTGCTCGAGATCAAAGTGTTTCTCAGCGGGGTGTGACGTGTGTGTTAAAGAGGTTCTCGTGGCATCTGCTGGACACTGGGGTTACTGCTCTATGTAGATACGTCTGTTTCCTGAACTCTTCTGAGAAACCAGTGATACCAGCCGGGGCAAAAACACAAAAACACGCATGGAGGGAGATGGAAGATTAACTCTGCAGATCTTGGATCTTCCGCCCTAACAATCTTTGACCGAAACTAGACTTCGAGGGTACCGTTCTCTCTAACGGATAGTCTCAACTATCATTGATTGGATGGGTATCTTCTTCTAACAAACCCTCCTCGGTTGTGTCTTTTGGTGCTTTACATCTTCCTCCACGAAAGCGCTCCATGGTTGTCGGTGGACATGTTGCCATTTTTTCTGTCGCGTGAAAAGAAAAAAATACGTTTCGATGACAGTAGTAGCAATGTTTTTCCTCATAAAAACATGTCATTGCAAACATGTCATCGCTGCAGAGAGGAATTGTGTTCCTTGGCTGGTGCTCTCCAGTGGTACCAGTACGTGATACGACGTGCCGGCCACCGCTGCTGCTTGTGTGTGTATACAAGTAATGGCGTGGAGAAACACGGCATTTTTTTTTTATTATTGTGTGCTGACAAGGCTGGACACGAGAAAGGGAGAAGAGCTGAACATCCGTACAATAGCGCTTGACGTGCACTTCACTCTCGCAGTCGAGAGATCACGCGGTATCATGCCGACAAGGCCCGCAGATAGTTGTACATCACACCAACCGCACGGGACATACTGTATGCTTGAGCATTTTTTCCGTTCTTTTTTTTTGCGCTCCTGGAAGTATGGCCTTCCCTCTCTGTACTTGTAGTTGAAGAGCTCCGACTGCTATGATTGACGATCGATCTACTACTCTATTCAGCGGGGGGGGCTGTTTAGTGCCGGTATGAGCCCAGATAATAGACCGGCTCTATTCCGGACACCGACATTATTCAAAGTACAAGATGATTCAATCTGTGCGTACCGGCACTGTGTATACCGGACACCGGCAGTTTTCAACCGACACTAACCCCCCCTCCCCCCCCCCCCCACTGTTGTAAAACCTTATCAGGTGTCGTAAGACGAGCTCGCGGCGGGGTCCTCCTGCGCAGACGCGGGGTAGCGGTGCCCGCCCCCGACAATGGCGGCCTCGTGGTGGAATCGGGCAACAAGAACGGCGGCGATGGTCTCCTCGCCTCCTACCTCCGCGCCCTAGACACCAAACCCATCATCACCAAGGTTCGCAGATCGCAAACGATATGGATTGACACCGCGTACCACGGCAGGCCGCGCTTCGACGGGAAGCTACACGTGTCTTTTTTTGAGTTGAGGTGTGACGAGTCGGCTTCCAGGCGGAGACTTGTGCAAGTCTACCAGGTGTATCGCCCCCCACCAGCATCTCGATGTGACATAGACAGAGTCCACCGTCAGATGGCACACTCGAAAGGGCGGATGGCCTTTCTTAAGCCCGTTTTCCGGAAAATGTACTGTACGTGTAGAGAAAGAAGGTTTGGCTGCAATTCAGCCTGACGAGTGATGAGAACAGCACATGGGTGTGAAAAAAAAACACCCTGGAGCGTGTGCGGCACGGCAGTGTCATCGATTCCGCACGAAGTAAAGCTGACAAGGCTTCGTGTATTTTTCCCCCTGCCTCACCGTACACTGCTGCTGTGTTTCCAAAACCCGAAGGTCGTCACGTCCGGGGTGATCTGTGGCATCGGTGACATCATGGCGCAAGCGCTGGCGTTCAAGACGGCGGCGACGGAGTCGTTTACGTTGGGCTCTTTTCTGGCCGCCCTTGAGTTCAAGCGGTTAGCCATCTATGGTGAGACTTGCCTTCACGTTTTGCCAAGAATGGGTATTTTCTCCCGTGTGTTCTCGTTTTGCCTCGGCCCCCGGGGGTGGGGAGGAGGGCTGGTTCACCGACAGCAGTACCTGCGGTGGTGTAGAGAAACCTACGGTGGTGTAGAGAAAGGTGAGCGTCGGTCAATGCATCATGAAATAACGGCAAACCACAAAATGGCAGTCAGACGCGACGCCTGCCCATGCCCATTTATCTCTATTTCTCTATCTCCTCCTCCCCCCCCCCGCCCCCAAAACCCCCCGTCACAAACAAAAAAACACCCGCCCCCCCCCCCCTTTTTTTTCCCAAAGGAAAAAGGGTGGTTGGGGCCCTGGGGATCCCCCGCCCAGGGCACCACTGGGTCTAAGCCCCCCCGGCGGCCAACAAAGAAAAAAAAACCGGGGGCGGGGCCCCCCCCCCCCCCTTTCCCATGGGGAAGTTTAAGGGCCTCAAAAAGGTGACCCTGGAACCAAACATCGGGGCGCCCCTTATTTACGCGGGGGGGATTTTTTTTTAAATAATCCGTTTAAAGGGGGGGGGCAAGTTTTACCCTTTTTTACCCTGTTTTTGGGCGGGGCTTCCCCCCCCCCCGG